ATAGAAGAGAAATTGGGTGTCAGAGTGATGTCTGGGGTGTAGCCGGCAAGGACTCCCAGCAAGGCAAAGGCAGGAAGCAGGTAGGAAGCCACTGGACTTTTCTCTGGACTTCCTGTCTGATCGCTTCATCCCCAAATGCTTACATTACTCCAGCTGTGATACATCTTTCTGACCTTCTACATCTTAAACCAGGTGTCTAGAAATGACAAACTGAAACAATGATCTTAAAAGATAGAAAAATACTGCCTAAAATTCTGGGCCCCTGAGATTGGTGACTCCCCAAGAGACTTGTCTATGACACCTCTATGTGTTCTCACCAAAGTATGAACACAACACCCCTCTCCTAATAGGTGTCAGGAATTGATGACCTCAAGAACAAGAGCTCAGCCAGGGACCCTTCTTCTCCTGACTCAGTTTCTCTCTCTGGTACTCCGTATCTAGGATGGATCAGTCCCTAACTGAATGTTATGATTTTTGTATGCTTTAACCATGCTATGTCAGAATGTGCACACTGATACAGAGAAGTTCCTGTATGTCCACAGATCCTGGAGGCCTGCTTCCCTGTACCCAAACACACATCCTGAGCCAGAGAAGGTAGCCCCCCACAGCCCTGATAAATGGCTCTGTTTGTATCCTTGCAGATAGTAATCTTGCTAATATAGTGAATTGAACTTATCTTCCTTGAAGTGTTTCTTCTTTGGAAAGAAATAATCCACACTTGAAAAAATATATATTTCTGCCACTGATTCCAAATCTGCTTTCTCTTGCTTCCAATCATGTTATGTGAGGTGCCTAAACATTTAGGGCTGGTTCATACTGACTCTGTCACATTGGCATATTATAGGACAGGGCATCAAGAAGGAAAACTTCAGAGCAAACATAGAGCTCCAGCTTTCATATCTTTTATCAGAGAAAATACTGTCTTACAGGCTTTTGTTATTAGCAGTAGTAATACATGTTTGCAGTATTTGCATTAACAATCACCTTGGGCGTGGGTACATTTACATAATACAACTTGCTTCCTTTTTTAAAATCACTTTTCCCTTCCCTCTCTCCTATACTTCTCTTTTCCCCATTTTCATTCTTATTGAAAACATTACCGTTAGCTCATGTTTATGGTATGTAATGTTTACATTTATTGAAGTTATTAGGTTCCTGTACATGGCTTACTGTTATTTGACTTATTTCCCCTTCCCCTCCTCCTTACCCCCTACTCTTGGTCTATTGTACCCTTTCCCATTTGCAAGAGATCCATCCCCTTGTCTCCTTCTATCCTTCCTCTATTGATCTCTTTGTTTATACTTCACCTTACTCAAATAAGAGATACTACACAGTGTTTAAACCTTGTGGGTCTGGTTTACACCACTGAACATTATATTTTCTGGGTGCATCTATTTTCCTACAATTGTCTCAAACCTGTCCTATATAGCCCGGTGGTATTCCATTATGTACCTTCTTTATCCAGTCATCTGTTGATTAGTACATAGGCTGCTTCCAGGATTTAGCTATTACTACTTGTGCTGCTATAAACATTGGGATGCACGTTTCACTGTAGAGTGATGTCTTAAGCTCTTTGGGAAGATACCTAGAAGGGGCATCACTAGGTCACGTGGAATTGCTAATTTTAGTTCTTTGAGAAATCTCCATGCTGATTTCCATAATGATTATATCAGTTTGCATCCCACAACAATATGAACATGTCCTCAGAATTTTCCAGTGACTCCCAGTTCATCTTGTCTGCTTTTCTTTCTTCCTTACACACATCCTTCCTCATCCTCTCTTCTTCTTCCTCACCTGTGTTTTCCTCAAATTTGGCTCTCTGCTCCTGTTTATTTCCCCATAGTCACCAAAGTGGCTTCTGAGCAGCCAGCAAAGAGGATTAAAACGTGCTGCCTTCTGACCCCTTCTCTGAAGCATGGAATCAGAATTCTGTGTTGCAACCATGAGCAGAGAGGGCAAGGAAAGCATTCAACCCCGTGGTTTCCTGGGTCCAGATGGTTAGCAACCTAGATTGGTTGAATTTGAAAAATCTCACCCAGCATTTAAAGTAGTGAAGCAAATCTAAATCACCTTCCCTGTGCCTCTTCCCGTTCATCAGCAAAGATGTCCATGTGTGAAAGATGTATATTTTGTAGTCAGATGATAGAGGAAAATTTAGCTCCAAGGATCTTGACTCTCAGCCTCAGTGTCTCTCTCTGAGGCCCCAACCTCTATGACAGTGTATCTTTGACATGTAGGCTTCTCAGGGGATCTCAGCAGGGTATTTCTTCACCAGTTAACAACTTCATAGACTGTGTTAGTCTGCTTCATGTTACAGTGACAAACACCTGAGATAATCAACTTATAGAGAGAAAAATGTTTATTCTCTCTCACCGTTTTAAACTTTCAGTCCATGATCAGTGTGATGAGGCAGTGGACCATGGTGGGAGTGCACCAGAGCAAAGCCATTTACCTCGTAGGCCAGAAAGGGTGGCTGGATTCCCACTAGCCCTTCAAGACCACATCTCCATAAAGAAAGACTGCAGATACCCAACACTAAGGGTTTTACCACCTCACAGAAGCATCAAGCTGGGGCCTAGCCCTCTAACAAATTGCTTTTGGAGGGCACTTAGGAGCAAACTCCAGCATGGACCTAGAGCTTCTGAATGTGTAAGCTTGAGCACACCCATAAACTTGTCAAACCAGGCAGCTTCAGTCCTGAGTATGGCTCAGCCCTGCGGCACAGAGGCACCAGCCACTCCTTAGCATACCTAAGCTCAGACCACCCCCAGGCCTACTGAATCCAATTCTATACTTGTTCAAAGACCCTGAGGAAATCATATGCAAATTAAATCTGAGAAACACTTTATCATACAACTTGACAAGATTCGATTTCTCACTTAATGAGGCAGTGTTATAACAGTCCAGTTTTACATAAATGCATTTTTTCTTTCTTCCTGTTTGGCTGCACTGTGATCAACAACACCACCCTGAGACACCAAAAAGTGGAGGGACCTGGTCCCAGGCCCCAGGGGTCCCCATGCTCTGCAGTTATCTTCTGCAAAATGTTCTCAGCTCTCCACTACTGCCATGGAGCAGCCAGGGCTGTTAATTTCCAAGGCTGGAAGTGTGGCTGCTCTCTCAGGCCCCATTCCTCCCATACAGGAAGCTCTTCTATCCTGCACCTTCTGGCCATTCTTTACACAGGGTCAGCCAGATTCCCTATCAACTCTAGACTTCACTCCTATGGGGTTGCCCTGGTCTTTGTCCCCAAGTCCAGGTGCTGGGAAGGTAAATCAGTTATTCTTTTCGGTCAATGCAACAGTTCTTCCATGGGACTGACACCTCAAAAGGGTAATGATTTGGAGTGAATCAAATTGTTCTATGGGTGGCTTCTAGTGATGGCCAGTATCCAGTAACTGACCTTATACTCTAGCTGGGGATGACCTGAAGCAGTGGATAGAGGTGAAGAAAGCAGTCAGAGCTGAAAAGCACATGGCCCGGGATATGTGAGTGCTTCTCAAAGCTTAGACCTGGGGCAAAGTCAGAATGGCAAAGCCCCTGAATCCTCATGGCCCCTGATGCACACTCCACCTTCCTATTCCGCGCTGTGATGGACCTTCACTGTGGGATAAACAACCACCCATTGTATCAGAATCTGCCTGGGTGGTGGTGGTGTCAAAATGAGTTTAACTATCTTGAAAACTAATTTGGCCCTGAAACTAGAAACACAAAACGCTCAGAACTGTGCCTTTCCTTTGGCCTTTATTGTGGTTGGGTCTTCATGAAAGGTGGTATTTCAAGAGAACTCAATATTTGTTTGAAGGCAGAAGGTCTGTTCTCTTTGTGTTGAACTGCAAGGTGTGGAAAAAGAAATAAGGTGTAGTGTCCGGATAATTGTGAGAGGATGCGAATTTTTTAATATTTTTTTTTATTAATGAAGTTTATTGGTCCATTTTAGGTATACATCATGATCATATTCATCATTGGGAATTTGTGATATTACATGATATATCTTGATTTTTCCCATTCCTCTTTCCTCCCTTCAACCCCTTCACCTCTCCCTATTTACAAAAGCTTTCTTTCCTTTTTTCCTTCTTTTCTCATTTTTTTCTTTCTCTGTTCCACCCCACCCCCACCTCCATTGCAAGAGCATATAATGGTGGCTGGAAACAAAGCAAATTTTTGCAGCCCCAGAATATTTTGGATCATGAATTGCAAATTGTATAAGTACTTGAGAGTGAGATCAGCAAAATGCCCCCCCAAATCATGTTCTAAATCATAGCCAAAGATCCATTACTTGAAATATCTTTTTTCCCTTAATTTTGGCAAATTGTTGCTGAGTATCTACTGTGTAGCAGTAATTAAGTCATTCATTCACTCATTCAGCCTCTACTCTATTTTATCCACCTTATCTTATCACTCTTAAATTTTTTAATTGGTAAAAATCATATTTTTATCATGTACAACATAATCCTTTAAAATATGTATACATTGTGGAATGGCTCCATGTAAAATTGAAACTGAACCAACAGTTTTGAATATGTGTTAATGCATAAACTATTCATTTACTTGCACTATAAGTAGTTAGTAGTGGTTATTAGGGTTTTATATAGAAAAGCATTTCTTCATAGTGAAAAAGGAAAATGTTCATACAAACACAACCTAAAGTTATTCCACAGATTTTATCATATTATCCTTCACGATTCTCTTTAAAACATCAAGGTTTATTAATGCACTGGGTTGTTTATCATGTATCTTTTAATATTCACAATAATCATTTAAGAAGATATTTATATTCCTTTCTTACTCAAATGCCCTTAAAAGCTAAAGTGCTGGGCTGAAAATGTATTAATGTAGGACTCATTCAGACTTTCTTTACGGTGTCCTGTATTTTTTACTTGATGCTTGAACCCCTATTGTGGCTCTCGCTTCTCCTTCTCTACCCTGCAGATGTGAATACAACTCTGTCCCTGGTCTAACAGTTTATTTATTGTCTTCTGCCTGTCTTTTCTTCCCAGAAGGCCAGGGCTTTGTGAGTGAGGATGAATACCTGGAAATCTCTGACATCAAGCGTGACCAGTCTGGGGAATATGAATGCAGTGCCCTGAATGATGTCGCCGCACCAGATGTGAGGAAAGTAAAGATCACTGTCAACTGTGAGTGCCACACTCTCAACAGGGCCTTCTATGAGGAAACAGTAGACAAGGGCTAAATGGACAAGTTGGTAATGGCATTGCCAGTTTCTGAGAGACCTGCGCTCTTTCCATTCCTTTGCCTCCTGTTCCCTAGTCTTCTGGGACTGTCAGTGCTTTCCGAGCATGGGCCCAACTTCTAACTTAGAATTTGGTTAAAGGCCAGAGAAGATGCTGAGTAAATGCAGTGTCTTCAGGCAGAAAATTATTTTTCTGTATGTATGTGGTTTTTGTTGTTGTTGTTGTTCACTTTTTTCCTTTTGAGACAGGGCCTTGCTCTGTTGTCCATGTTGGCCTTGAACTCCCTATACAGCCCAGGCTGGCTTCAAACTCTCAGCAATCCTCCTGCCCCTACCTTCCAAGTGCTGTGATTACAGGCATGCACCACCAAGCCTGGCATAAAAAGTTCTTTTCTTACAACTGGCCATTTTATTGGGAAATAGGGTATCACTAGACAAATAGCAAGTGGCTGGATGTACCTCTCATGTCTTTTGTGGATCAGCCTATGTGGTTTATTCTTTGTTGATTCTTCCCACAGACCCTCCCTATATCTCAAAAGCCAGGAACACTGGTGCCTCTGTGGGTCAGAAGGGCATCCTGAGCTGTGAAGCTTCTGCAGTTCCCATGGCTGAGTTCCAGTGGTTCAAGGAAGATACCAGGTACCTCCAAGTAGCTAGCACAGACATGAGGCAGAGCTGTGGGGTCATCCCTGTAGGGAAAGAGAAGGATAAAGTACAGGACAAAGAAAAAGCAAAATAGAAATGTGTCACAGCCTCCTCTGTAAGAATCTCTTTTAGAAGCAGAAGATTAAGATGGAGAAAGCTGGGAAGTCAACAAAATGAAATGACTTTGTTTCCAAATCTGAGATTAGTTGCAGACATTGTAATTCCTAGACTAGATGACTAGAAGCTGGTAAATTGCATGATTTGACCATGACTATTCTTTTCCTTTCTCTCCTGTTGGAGACTGTGGTAGTTAGGGTTTGAGCTTGAGGAATTAGTTTAGTTAGAGTTTTTGGAAAGAGAGCCTCTTTGCAGAATTGATCTGTAATATCTCTGAATTGTCTCAGCACCTTCTGCCTGCTTCCTCCGTCCACCTGCAGGACCATGCCAGCAGTGCCTTCTCTCCTTGTAGGTTAGCCACTGGCCTGGATGGAGTGAGGATTGAGAACAAAGGCCGCATATCCACCCTGACTTTCTTCAACGTCTCAGAGAAGGACTATGGAAACTACACCTGTGTGGCCACCAACAAGCTTGGGAACACCAATGCCAGCATCACATTGTATGGTGAGTGCTGGATGCCCAGACACAGTGGGCTCAGCTTAGTGGGGGAGCTCAAAGGACTCAGGAGGGAGGAAAGCATGATTAGTCTGTGTCTATCCATATTGCTCAGCCTACCGCCTTTATATAAGAAATCCTCCTCCCTGTATTCCCTCGGCATATGACACAGGGGTGTTTGCAAGGTCACTGATTGACCTGCTCTTCAAGAGTAAATGTTCACCCTTTTCAAAAGCAGTAAATCAAACTCTGAATAACCTTAAATGTGGAATCCATAAAGAAGATAAAGGGCTGGGGATTTAGCTCAGTGGTGCTGCCACCTACCTTGCAAGCACAAGGTCCCAAGTTTTGTTCCTGGTACCAAAAAAATTTAAAAATTTTTAAAAAAGGAAGATAAGAAGATAGAACCCTGGAGCTGTTTGATTGCAGTATGATCTAAAGGTATATCTGTGGAGGTGAACTGGAAAAACAATCTTTCAATAAGAAACCTTCTGAGGCAAGAGCTTGTTATTCAGTGAGATGTGTTTATAGTGCTGAACCAAGTTGAGTGCTGCTGCTATGACCCTCGTGTCGACTGCCACAGCACCCTCTCATTCACTGGGGTGAATGAATGGCTCAGAGGTTTCAGTCCTCACCAGATGACCATTCCATTAGTAACTTCTGCAGGAGACATTTCTCTGAAGGTCTCCTTTTCCCCAATGGCTGGCCTCTTGGAAGCCCTTCCTTCCTTCACTCCTCTTCCCACACTGCTCTGTCCACGGTCTTGTCCCATATTTCACACCCTGGGCCAGGACCAGCTTGTCGTGCTAGTTTCTATGTGTATGTATGTGCTTGTTTGTTGGGGTTTGATTAGAGGGGAGCATCTGATAAAGATGGAGAGAAATCCTTTTCTCTATGTGCACCTCAGACCCTGAGCAAGCTTTCGGCATTGACACAAACTAAATTTTGTCCACCAACCATCTGAAATGTGTGATCTATGTCTTTTGTTTTCTCTCTGCATTGTGTGTGCATTGTGCTGTGTGTGTCTTAGAAATAAGCCCCTCATCAGCAGTGGCAGGTGGGTACAGCATGTTCCTTCCTTCCTCTGCCTGCCTGAATGCCTATGCTTTTGTGATTATGCCAACTTCAAAGACAGGCTTGCCTGTTCCCCCTCCCCGGTGCACTTCTCCTGAGTGGGCCGGCTTCAGGAGGGCTGGTTACACAGATGTGATAACAAGCATGTAGAATATTTCAGCTCTCACACACAGTGATGGAATGGCAGTGTAGCTCTCAGGGGAAGGGGATTTAGCCCCGAAATGACAAACTTCCATCTGGTTGCCTCCAACAATGATGAGTATTCTGCTCTTTCTGCACACAGCAGCATGAAGTGAAACCTGGCCCAGAGACCACATGGATTATTACATGACTGTTTGTTATGAGCAGTAACCCTAGTTTGAATGTTTTATTCTTTTTGCCCAAGGCAAAGATGCCTACTGACTTTGGTTCCAAAATTTTTATTTTAAAATAGAAGTACTTGGAGTCATTATTCATAATGGTAATATCTGCTGTTGACTGGATATTTACTGATTTCTAGGAATCCCATCAGTGCCCCATTTTATAGAGCAGTGAAAGGATGAACAAAGAGAATGTGTAACCCTGACAGACACACAGCTAATGAACAGGTGATGAGACCCAGGATTGGGCCTGTCATCAAGTTCTGGGGGGTGTACACAGGTGCAGGTGGAGAGACAGAGAGAGAAAGACAGAGACAGAGACACAGACAGATTGGGGTACCCACACTAACACCCACTCTTACATTTAGATGAAGCAGTGCCACTGTCAGCTGTTTCCAGAGTGAAAGACTGGAAGCCCTACTTTTCTAAGATGTCAATCTCATTCACTTAGAAAGTGATGACGTTTAAATTTCAGAAGCCTATAGGGTCAGCTCTGTGACTGTCACCTTTCACAGTTCTGAATCCAGGGCAATCACAATTACAGAGCCTGCCACACCAGGATGATCATGAGTTCCATCCCTCAGTGCTGATAATATTGCAGAGAGAGTGCAGGACTACGGCACTGTCCTGGTCCTGACCTCGCTTACTCTGTCAGTTAGTAAGGTCACCTGTAGCAGGCAATATGGTCAACAGTGGCACCCAGGATGATCAGCCAGGCAATTGAGTCTGTCTGCTATTGATTCAGGAAGAGGGAGTGTCATAGCTGAGAGCAATAGTGAGCGTACACCAAGACTGTATGAGTCTCCTCAGGCCACCACAGCTAATACCCCAGATAGGGTGGCTCAGATGATAAATTCCTGCCCAGAAATTAGAAGTCCAAGATGGAGGTTCTAATCAATTACATTTCAATGAGGGTCCACTTCCTGGCTTCGAACCAACTGTGATGCTGTCACATAGCCTTTCCTCAGAGTTCAGAGTAATGAGCCATGGTCAACTGGTATCTTTGCTTATGACACTAATCGCATTGGATCAGCAATCCCCCTTTAGAACCCCTGTTGAGTCTTATAGGCTCCATCTCAAATATATTCACACCAAGGACTGGAGGTTCAACACTCAGATTTCGGAGGGACACAATTCAATTCATAGCAAAGACAGAATCACATCCAATTCAGCAACAATAGTGACCCATCCTGGCTGAGCCTTCCTGCCCTCATGTGTGCTATGAAGGTGGGGTTTTAATGCCTTCCTCAAAAATCTAATGAGTTTAAACAAGAGTATCATAAAGGGTTTAGTTGGATGACCTTGATAGCTTCATACTAAAGGCCTCAGTTTACTGAGAAGAAATCCGGATGATGTCTTTCTATCTGCTGACATAAAAGTGTCACTGTGAGCCCTCAGTAGGATATTGCCCCTCAGAGTGATATGACGAACTGACAGCTGTGCATCCATGCAGGTCACTATGACTCTAGCTGGTAGCGGTCAGCATATCTTGTGACATGCTCCATTTACCACAGCTTCCATTCATTCACCTACCAGAAGTACAGCTCAGCTGGATGTATATCTTCCTCCTCTCCAGAAAGTTCCTCTGCCCTTGAACTATAGCCTTCTCCACTCCCTATGACTCACCCTGTCTTATTCACCCAGATGGGGTCCACTTGCTTTTCAGCACCCTTTTCCTTTCCCTTTCGCTGAGTATATCAGATCCCCTGGTGCACCCTGTCTCACCCATTGCTTCTGACTGCCACTGTCCTCAGGTTGGCATTCATCTAACAAACACTTATTCAGCACCTGTCACAAGCAGGGCACTGTCCTAAGTGGTAAGGACACCACAGTGACATATGGGGCGGACTCTTTGTTCCCATAGGTGTTCCTTTACAGTTGTGATCTTGCTTTTGTTTCAATTACTTTGCTTGACTAGTTCCCCCCTACCTGTCAGCCTCATGGACATAGGGGCCGTATCTAGCTTGAATTACCTCACATAAGGATCCACACATGGGATCTGCTCAGGGAAAGCATTGTAAATGAAAGAATGCATGAACATCTGCAGAGATCAGAAGGTTGTTGGGCCAGGGAGTTAGCTCAGTGTCACTGCCTGCCTTGCAAGTATAAGGTCCTGAGTTTGATCCCTGGTAGAAGGAGAAGGAGAAGGAGAAGGAGAAGGAGGAGGAGGAGGAGGAGGAGGAGGAGGAGGA